CGGGAGGCGGAGCTTGCAGTGAGCTGAGATCCGGCCACTGCACTCCAGCCTGGGCAACAGAGTGAGACTCCGTCTCAAAAAAAAAAAAAAACACAATCCTCAAAAGTCAGGTGGACTAAAGCATTCTGGAAAGCAGCTGGTAAAGTGCTCACAGCAGATCATTTGAGTTTGAAAAATGTAGAAATGAACCTGTCAAATGCCAGCGAGAACCGTGGAATAAAACCACGGATATAACGAAGAGCATTGAAGATCAAACAGAAACACCAAAGCCAAATTTATAATGAACAGATTCAAGAAAAAGAGCTACAGAAATTTCAGGACATCAGAGAAGTCAAGCAAAGGGGCACATGTTATCCGAGCCCCTCCTGCAGGCAGAGGAAATCGTCGGGAGGAGGAAACCCACAGCAGCATCAGCAGGATGCGAACACGGAACGTGCTTCCTACAGATCTCACCGGAGCCATTCAGACTTAGAACTGCTCAATTATTGGTTTATGTATTATATAAGGTCAAATGACAGGCGATTAAAAGTATCTCTGTCAGCCAGGTGCGGTGGCTCACGCCTGTAATCCCAGCACTTTGGGAGGCCGAGGCGGGCAGATCACAAGGTCAGGAGATGGAGACCATCCTGGCTAACACAGTGAAACCACGTCTCTACTAAAAATACAAAAAACTAGCCGGGCGTGGTGGCAGGTGCCTGTAGTCCCAGCTACTCGGGAGGCTGAGGCAGGAGAATGGCGTGAACCCGGGAGGCGGAGCTTGCAGTGAGCCAAGATCGAACCACTGCACTCCAGCCTGGGCCACAGAGCAAGACTCCGTCTCAAAAAAAAACCAAAACAACAACAACAAAAAACTGTCTCCTACATTGCTGTCTGCAAAACACTGGAGGTTATGGATATTAGATTGCATCTCGATGTTAAACCTTCACTAATGTACTTGAGGAAATCACAAAGATTCTGTAAATACAGAAGTGAATTGCAGACATAGTATGGTTGTGTCATGTGGATAATGGCAGGCACTAGGCGGCATTTATGTAGTAACTAATGACAAAAAGTCATGGCTAGTGGCATATAAAATACTCTTTGCGGTAAAATATTTCCTTTATTAATGTTATAGAAGGCGGACATAACAAGGAACTAACAATCGGAGTGACAACTAGCCTCAAACACACTCTTTCATGTTGGTTTCGGCACCTCCTGTTTGGGGTTATTAGCATCCTGGAAGAGCACCACAGCCTCGTCTGATGAAGCCTAATTGGCTGGTCTGTTCCGAGCTGGTCTGACGGTTCTGATAGGCAGATGTGGATGTTGGGTTCAGAGCTGAATCATCTTTGCCTGAACTGGCACTAGACTCTACAATTTCTGCCTTAGCGAACACTCAGTTCTAACCTGTGATTTCTGGTGGAACAAGCTTTATTTTTATTTTTCTAGCCTAGCAATGATCTTGAAGCAGAGGAATCCCAGTGCCTTTTAACAATTGTGTTGGCCGGGTGTGGTGGCTCACGCCTGTAATCCCAGCGCTTTGGGAGGCCGAGGCTGGAAGACCGCTTGAACCCAGGAGTTTGAGACCAGCCTGGGCAACATAGTGAGACCTCATTTCTACAAAAATTAAAAAGTAATAAAAATTTGTTGTGTGATTTTTTTTAAAAAAAGCTACTAATTGTTTTTGGGAAATAGAATTTATGGGTCTTTTCCTTTGCACATTGAATTTTTTATTTTTATTTTTTTTAGAGACAGGGTCTCTGTCACCCAGGCTAGAGTGCAGTGGCCTCCCAGGGGACTAGGGTTACAGGTGTGAGCTGCTGCACCCAGCTGCAAGGTGAAATGTTACGGTTCTTCGTGTGTCAGGTGGTTTTGGGTTGAATATGACTTTATAAGATCTGGGTTGTGTTTGAATCCCATGGGAAATGTCGAAGTCTTTGGTTAGCACGCACTTGGTCCTGTGAGGGTCGGACGCACACTGCTCCCGCTCACCTGGACTCCTGTCTTCAGAGCTGCTGGTCTTTGGTCTGGGGCCCGAGGCTGGTCCACAGTTCCCCAAGTCCGTGGTGTGACCCTTAGACCCACGTGTCTGCGTGTGAGTGAGCCCGGCACCCACAGCCGCCCCATGCGTGAGCCCGGCACCCACAGCCACCCCATGCGTGAGCCCGGCACCCACAGCCACCTCATGTGGGTGCTTCCCAAGCTCCCCACGCTGGATCTGGCTGCTGGGCTCCCTCACTGTCCATTCAGACAGTTGTGGTTCTAGTCACCCCCATGTGACATGCCCTTGACTGGGCCAAGTTGTCTATATGGCAGGAGGGCAGGGGAGGAAAAAGCTAACGGGGCTGGTCCCACCCTCAATGCAGCAGCACCGAGCCATGAGGGACTTTCTGGCCCCCGAGTTTGGCTCTGATGGGTTCCTGTTGCCACCACTCCCACTGCCATCAGGGTCACAAAAGAACGGAGAAGAGAGTAAAGCCAGGGCATTGCCTCACTGACCCTGCCCATCAGCGTCGGTTCCTTTCCCTGGCCCTTAGGGCTGCTCTGGGCTTTCTGCCTGGCCCCAGCACTCACCTGCAGTGTTCCGGCTGCGTGGAGTTCAGGTCATGGACATAATAAGGTCAAGCACCAGTTCTGCGAAACTTGGGATCGTGCTGCTGCTCCCTGACCCGGCTCTCCGGCTCTCCGGCTCTCCGGCTCTCCGGCAGCTGCTCCA